TTTCCAGAAATTTCGCAAAGTTTATAATTAAAAATAGGAAATTGATTTAGGAATTAATTTTTATAACATTTTTTATAATTTTATATATTATTAAAATAATTAATTTTTTTTACTAATTTAAAATTTATGATATTAAATACATTAACCTATTTAATAATACATAAAAATTATATAAAAAATAATAAAAAATATTTTTTTATATTATTACCCTTAAAAAATAGGTAGCAAAAAACTTTTTTTCTACTCCTTTTAAATAATGCCACGTGTTACATCAACGTAAATAAAATTGCCGCCCCCATAAATTTCGCACTTGCTCTTCGCATCTCGAAATTACATCGGCAACATACATAACCAGACGCCACCGCTTGATCTCGCCTGCTCAGGCTGCTCTGTTCATACATTCTCTCTGAAGTTGTAAAGGAGGGAGATGGCGGCAAACGACTGGGTAAACAGTTACCTGGAAGCGATCCTGGATGTCGGCGGTCAAGGAATCGGCGATGCGAAGAAGTCGTCGTTGTTACTCCGAGAGAGGGGACATTTCAGTCCTACTCGCTATTTCGTCGAGGAGGTTATCACTGGCTTCGATGAGAGCGATCTGCATCGCTCTTGGGTTCGAGTACGATCTTCTTCCGTCACTGTTAATGTATCTCTGATTCGGATCACTTTGTTGTTTGTGTTTTTTTTATCCGATTCTGTGTTTGCATTTGTTAGGCGGCGGCAACGAGGAGTCCACAGGAGAGAAATACCAGATTGGAGAATATGTGTTGGAGGATTTGGAATTTGGCTCGCAAGAAGAAGCAGGTTTTGTTTTTAAATTTTTTTTCCCTTTTTTAAGTTCTTATTTTTATGAATAAATTTTGGTAGAGCAGGATGTGAATATGGCGATCTGAGTTTAGAATTTGATGAATTATTAATGTTGTTTTCATTTGTTCACCATATGCAATTTATCACTGAACTTTTTGGATGAATCTGCTTTTCTGAGTTTTGCTTTGTTTTTTCTTAGGATCATAGATCAATCTTGAATTGAGACTGTTGCTTCTTTTTGTTATTGAGAAACTGGACATATTTGTTTTCCTTACATAGGCAGAGAAAGAAAATTATGGAAACTTGGACATATAAATGTGCTGATCATGCTTGATACCAAGGGAAAATTTAACTCAAATGGATCAATAATTTCATTCCTGTATTATGGAATGCATTCTTTGTTGGAGGATGTAATCTTTCACTACTAGTTTCTTTCTTCATGCTTCAAAATTTTTTGTATGGTGTTTCATTGTACTGAAGCCACTTCA